AACAACAACAACAACAACAACAACATATCTCTGTATAAATATATCCTACTCTTCTTCCCTTACCCATTCCTCCTACATCTTAATTCATGTATCTACATACACAGCACTGTTGTTCCAATGTTAGTTATTTGTAAGGTTTTCAGTGGCTGAACATTCAGAACTAGTCTGCTGCTTCTTCTTCCTGGTCTGTCTTAGTGTAGCAGGTCCACTGAAGCATGTCCATCATGGGTGACACTGACAGAATTTTAAATACCAGTGGCTTAGCTTCCAGCAACAGAGCAACACACAAGCTACCACAGTATGACAAACTGACAGAAGAGTGGTAGTATTTTATATTACACAGTCATTAAAAATGATAACATAATTGTATCCTGTGGCAAATGTTTAAAATACATTTTTAAAATTAGGTCACACATCAATTTATAATCCAATATAAAACTACATATATAAATGTAATAATCGGACTCCATTTTTAATATTTGATTGTCGATGGTTTTCAAACCCCATCATTCTTGTTCCTATTCCTCTTCTGCTCACTGCTGAATAAGCTGAGAAGAAAGCTTGGGTAGTTCCTCCTTGGTGCTGGCATAAATTCTAAAGCAAGTTCTGGCTCATGTGCAAAAGAACCCTCACTCCCTAATCACCATAAAACCTTAAGCCAGTTACCTCTCTATTCTTTAAGGCCATATTGAACCTGCAAGGCCATCTGGAAGCCTGTACTGTTTTCCCAAAAAAGCCCAATTATATGAGCAATTAACTTTTCATACCCTCTTTCTCCCAAGTGTGTGTCATCATCAGTCTCAATTCCATTCCATCTCTATGAAGCAACTACAACAGTAAGGCAAGGGTAAATGGAGGGGTAGACTCTGGTAATGAGATTATACATACATTATTTTCTTCCCTATTCTTTTTGGTATTTTCTAAATTTAATATAAACCCCTCTTCTTGTCTGATAAAATCACTAAGTATTATAATAAGCAGAAAAGAAAATCAGTTATGTGGCACCAACCACACACTCAAGGAACTCACCATTCAGTAGAGAGGCCTACCTGTACTAGACCTTGTGGACACAGCAAAAGCAATATGGCCATGAATGAGAAACATGGAATTCAGAATAATTTATTTAAATGTCTTTAATTTCTTCTAAAAGACACAAGCTTCTCAATTTGGGGAATGACATACACCATTTCAGGCAGTAGCACTATAGAGAACCTTTCCTACCATCTTTTTTGCTCAGGTCCTCTTCCAAATAATAGGACAATTTTTTTTCATTACTATTGTTTTTTGTTAGGTGCTGTTGACTCAGTTCCGACTTACAGAAACTCTGTATAGGGTTTACAAGAAGCAGCTGGTGTGTTTGAATCGCCAAGCTTGTGGCTCAAACCAACCACACCATCCAGTGCTTTATCCTGTAGTGTCACACCAGGACTCCATCACTGCTATTACAATGGTTATCTACTTAAAGCTCTGTCTTCCCCACCATACAATACGCTTTTGGATGTCAGGAACTGTATCTTTTCACTGTATCTTTCCTATTTGTTAATCATCACTTTTGCCACATAAACAAGATACTCCCTCTCAGTTTTACATGGAACAACCTCTATTTCATCCTATTCTTTAGAAAAGAAATTCACTGGAACAATGTAAACATGTTTATAAAACACATTCTGCATACATTTCTTGACTGTAAAGGAAACTTTTTACTACAGACAATGGCTCCTCAAGTACAAAATATAAAGTACTCAAGACAGCAGCAAAAAGAGAGGGGCAGAAGTTCTTGATTACCTGCCCTAAATCCTCTGGGCTGAGCACAGCATGAATAAAGCATTTGACCTGAATTCTGAATCTGACTAAGTGTGGTCATGCAATTGGAAAGCTTATTCGCTTACCGTTCTATGACATAAAAGTTGTCTCCATCATCTCCTTGATCAATGACATGCTCATCAACTTTCACTATCCTTTCAAACATGGCATCAAGGACTTGAGAAAGCTGTTCCTGCAGGGAACATAAAGGAGCAAAGATGGCATTTACATTTGCTGAAAAAAGTACTGACTATGCTCCTCAGATAGAGTTCTGGTGTGGCGTTGTGGACTAATGCGTCAGACTGCAAAGTCGTTTGGACTACAAGGTCAGTGGTTCAAGCTCACCAGCTGCTCCTTGGAAACCCTACACAGGGTCACTATGGGTCGGAATCAACTTGACGGCACTTAACAACAACAACATGCTCTTCGGAAACCCTATACAGGGTCACTATGGGACGGAATCGACTCAACGGCACTTCAAAACAACAACAACATGCTTAACTCTAGGAGTCCTAGTGGTGGCTCTGTGGGTTAATGCACTGGACTGCAAAATCGGTTTGATCTGCAAGGTTAAAAGTTCAAGCTCACCAGCCACTCCTTGGAAATCATATATAGGATTGCTGTGCATCAGAACCAACTTGATGGCACTTAACAACAACAATAATGCTCATTTCTAGGAGCTCTGGTGGTACAGTAGTTATACACTTGGTTGGTAACTAAACAGTCACAAGTTCAAACCCACCAACTGCTCTGTGTGAGGAAGATGTGGCAGTCTGCTCTCACATCTCCTATGGAGCAGCTGGTAATTTTGAACTGCTGACTTTTGAAGTTAGCAGCTCAATTCGTAACCACTATGCTACCAGAGCTCATTATTTGGAATATTGGGGAAATCTTAATATGGCTGTATTAGATGATACTATATCAATGATAAATTTCTTTGGTTTAATGATACTGTGTTAATGTAAGAGAATATCCTTGGGTTTGGAAAATATATTCCAAGGTATTTAGTGGTAGAGAGTCATCATGTCTTCAATATAGTCGCATACAGCTCAGAATAACAATAATGAAAAATTAGTTTATATACCTTTTTTTATTCACTCTTTCTCTACACACAAATACACACACACAAACAAAAGTGGCAAAAAGTTAATAACTAATCATTCTATGTGAAGTGAAGGGCAATCTGTGCCCATGGTACTATTCTTTTTTTTGGTTTTTGACTTTTCTTTACATTGAAAATTTTCAAATAGAAATTTAGGAAAGTTTAAAAGATTGCAATAAATATATTTACCAGAATGGCTAAAATAAAAAAGGCTGTTAATACCAAATGTTTTTAAGGACATGGAGCAGCTGGAAATCTCATATACTACTGGTAAGAATGTAAAATGACATACGACAATACCAATAACGTGTATATCAGAGTTCTGGTGTGGCATTGTGGGTTAATAAGCTGTGTGGACTGCAAAATCGGTTTGAACCACAAGGCTAGAAGTTCAAGCTCACCAGCTACTCCTTGGAAACTCTACTGCTATGAGTCAAAACTGTCTCGACGACACTTAACAAAAACAACAATGTGTATATTATGGAGTCCTGGTGTGGCACTGTAGGATAAGCACTAGACTGCAAGGTCGAATTAAACCACAAGGTGGTGGCTCAAACCCACCAGTTGCTCCTCAGAAATCCTATACAGGGTTGCTGTGAGGTGGAACCGACTCAAGAGCATGTTAACAACACACCTGGGCTCACATGCTATTTTCTTTGCGTATGCCTCATGTCCTATGAGGGGGCTTCAAAAAGTTCTTGGAAAAATGGAGTTAAAAGATAACTAAATTTTTCCATGTACCTTTTGAAGTCCCCTGATATATGCAGCCAGCCCCACAGAAGTTTTTCAGATAGTGAGTAGCAGAAAGACAGGATTCTTTATGAGGGATGGATGCATGGTATATAGTATCATAAAAACTGTATCAATGTTAGAATCTAGACAGTGGATTCATGGGTGTTCCTGTAAAATTATTTTAATTTTGCTGCATGTTAGAATATTTTCATAATACAATGTCAAAAAAAAAACCAACAACTAAATCTGAAAAATCATAGTCATGCTTCAACACCAAAATTATAAAGTGGTATTCTCTAAGACTACAAACTGAATATTATATTAAATCTGCAATTTCCTTAGATCAATTTTAGATAGAATAGAAGGTAAAACTTTACAGCTTTTATTAACGGTAGATAAAGAAGATATAGTCCCTTTCCCATTGATACTGACAGGCCTTCCAGGGAAAATAACTGACAGACTAGTTTTTTGCATACCAGTCTTTCTTTGAACACACATCCTTGTTTTATTCAGACCAACAAGCTATTTTTACACTGGTATCCTCAGAGAATCAACATGTTTACAGTTTAAACCCAGATACTCCAAATTAAGCCAAGGCTATGCATAACTGAGTACTTCCTTACAAAGACCAAACTGCATGGTCATAATAGTTATTTACTTTTACTTGTCTTTTAGGAAGCACCAAAACAGCCCAGGAAAATACTATACATCATCTGCAAAGCTCATGTCTAGGTTATGAAGGTCAACACAATGAAAATAAGTAAGCTGTGTCTAAAGTTTTATGCCTATTTGATTGTGGCCCAAACGCTAAAAATTGTTTAAGTGACAAGTGGGGTGGGGGGAGTTTAAAAGACAATTTTAACAAAAATATTTTCAAAGTCAATGTTACCTGATCAAGATTTTTGAAAAGGAGAATATCTTTGCAAGCTTCCTGAAGTCTGCATCTCTGTTCATCTGTTTTGGGATGAATTACCTGTCAATCCAAATAAAACCAGGGACAATTAAAAATCTCTCACTTATAAATTGGTATATTTATTTCTCCTAAAAATATATTTTAAAACAATTTATAATTATAATTCTACATAAATTCCAAGCAGTGCTTTGAACATGGAAGCGCAAAATGATATGGGGTCAAAAGCGCCAACTTGCTGTGTGACTGGCAGCAGGTCAGCAACCCTGTGGAAGCTTCAGGGTAAAATAGGGGTGACAGATTTGCATTCAACAAATACTGAACACATACTAAGTGATGGGCACTGTTCTAGCTCTGAAAACACAGACAAAAAGAACTGCCTACCCTCATATTGAATAAATACAAAAAATACATTGAAGAATGGTAGAGGGGTATGTGTATATATGTCTCTAAGTGAGGCCTCACTGAGAAGGTGACATTTGTGTTAAGATCTGAAGTGAGAACAGTCAAAGGGGAAATCATGTGGACATATCTGTGGTAAGAGCACTCTGAACAGAAAGAAAAGCAAGTGAAAATAAACCCTTATGGTAGAAGCCTGAGTAGCATATTTGTGACATACCCACGAGGACAGCATGGTTGATGTGAGTAAGGGGATAGAGCAAAGGTAGAGATGAGGTATGAAGTGGGGTAGGGGTGGGAACCAAATCCCAAAGGGCATTGTAGTTCATGGAAGGACTAGGACTTTTCTCTAGTAACTGGAGACTATTTGAGGGTTTTGACTGAGGAAAGAAAGCAACCTGATTAATGTTTTAAGAGGATCACACTGGCTGCTGAGTGAAGAACATCCTGGAGAGAGACAAGAGTGGGAGCTAGGAGTCTATCATGATTATTCCAGTGACAGATGGTAGTGGTCTGGGTCAGGGTCATTGCCATGGAGGTCTTGAGAAGCAGCAGAATTTTGCTTGTGGTTTGAATACAGAGCCTGCTGAATTGCTGAAAGATTGGATGGGGGTATGAAAGAATGAGAGGAGTTGAGGGTGACCCCAAAGTTTGTATCTAAGTAACTGAAAGGATGAAGCTGCCATGAATTAAGCTAGAGATATCTGTGGGTAGAGAAGAACCTTCAAAGGAAAATAACCAAGAACTCACATGAAGTCTCACGAATAGGTGGAGATAGTGAGTGTTAAGTGTAACTTATGAATCCATTATCATGAGGATTATGTGAATTAACATGTAACGTGATTAGAGCAGTTGTTGTTGGAGTTGGTTCCGACTCACAGCAACCCTGCACAGGGTTTCCGAAGCCGTAAATCTTTATGTGAGCAGAAAGCCTCATCTTTCCCCTGTGGAACAGCTGGTAGTTTCAAACTGCTGACCTTGTGGTTCACAACCTGATTCGTAACCATTACGCTACCAGAGGCACTCAAAATTATTATTATTCCGAGGGTCTCTGTGTGTTGAAATGACTCCAGGGGACATAACAACAACATTGTTATAGTCAATAAACATTTATGGGATTAGAAAAAAAATGGGAGAGACTTATCAACCACCTCCCTAAATTTCATCTTTATCCTAAAACAGATAACTTATTTAATAAGAACATGTTAAATATTAAGTATTTTAAATTTAACGTTGAAAATTATAAAAACTATATTTTAACTTTTAAAAGCCATCAAGGGAGACTGGGCTTGATGGTGGATCAGGGAGACATGCAGTGAGGATCTCCATCAGCAATAACACAGACTGCCAGATGAAGCAAGTTCAGAAGACAGTCTCAGAACTCGGAACCATATATATAGGAATATTTAGAAAGTTTGAAGGCTTACAGCCAGTGGTATTTGTAGCAGAAGTAAAAAATCTAGTGCTTTTGGGGATCTGCCGGGTTAAGCATCTTCCGGAGTGGCCATCTTGGGTGAGACTGAACACGGGAAGGATCAGAACCGCCATAGAAGCCTGGCTCCTGACCGATCCTCAGAGATAAAGGTGTGGACTTTTTGTTGTTGTTGGTATCTGTTCATTGGTTTCTCACTGTCTGCGCACCTCCATACTGGTGACTAGAGGGGTTGCCTGAGTGAGTGGACACCCCCCTTCCAACCACAGTCAAACCCAGAGGATTCTAATACACATGCGAATAGATATGCTCAGCAAAATTTTATGGGAAAGGCACCGCTTAAAACCAAACAGCAGAGCAAAATGACCACAGCTGGCCCTGAACTGTTTATCACTAGGAAAAAGGCCTGAACTGGGGATGTCGAGTGGGAGAGATTAAAAAGGAAACAGGCCGAAAATTAAATCCTGAGTTACATCATAACGACTACAGTGGCATCTTGAAATTTCTCAGACAGCCTTGAAGGTTAGAACTGAGATAGGGACATTAAAGTCATACTTATATTTGGCTACAGAATTTTTTTTTTTCTTTTGCCTTTTCTCTCTCTTCTTCTGCAATTATAGACTATAATATACAATTTGTCTTTTTTGCTGTTGCCGTTTTGGTCTCCTCTTTACCTTTAGGGGGCTCTTTCTCTTCTTACATTACCCAAGAAGAGACAGCAATTGTGATCATATAGTCAAGCTACAATCACACCTTATAAAATACCACCATCCAGGCAAGAACCAATACCAGCTGCCATACACCAGATAGGCAGTCACCACCTGCGACAGTTACTCTGACTTGATTAATAAGAAGAGTGAAAAGGGAAGCCCATCTCCTGATCACACCTACCTGGAAGCAATCAGAAAACATAACAAAATATTAACAAACATCCATCTAAGTATTAAGGTCACAGCTAACTATGAATTTTCCCAAGAAACAGATGACCATCTCTGCACATATCCAGAAACAAGATTAAGTGACTGAGACTAATGATCTGGAGGTAGACCAAGACTTCATGTTGAAAGGAGGGCAGGCTTTGGAAATGCCTGAAAAGAAATTCAGAAAAATAAAATGTATCAAAACACTTTACAGAGAAGTTGAGAAAAATAAGGAAGAAGTCAGGAAAAGAGCTACAGGAACAATCAAATAAGATAGATACAGCATTGGAAATAACTGAAAACCTACAGAAAGAGGTCCAAATGATTAATAACAGAATATCAGAAATAGACAATACATTGAAAGGGCAAAGGAGCAGAGTTGAAGAAATGGAAGCTAGAACTAGTAAGCTGGAAGACAAATCTCTCAATACTACTAAAATAGAAGAGCAAGCAGAAAAAAGGATAAAATAATCTAAAGGTATAAGACTCATGAAAAGGAATAACTTAAGAATTATCAGGATTCCAAAACAGGAAGAATCACACATGTTCATGGAGGAGATGGTTGAAGAGCTTCTGGAAGAAAATTTCCCTAACATCCTGAAAAGCAAAAAGATATGCATTCAAGAAGCTCAACGAATTCCAGGAAGGCTAGATCTCAAAAGAAAATTACCAAGACATATAATCAAGCTCTCCAAAATCAAAGATAAGGAGAGAATCCTGAAAGAAAGTTAGGGAAAAGAAAAGTGTTACATACAATGGCAAACAAATCAGTTTAAGCTTGGATCTCTCAGCAGAAACTATGCAGGCAAGAAGGCAATGGGGAGACATATATAAAACCCTGAAAGAAAAAAACTGCCACCCAAGAATCCTCTACCCAGCAAAGCTGTCAATCAAAT